CATGTGCACCTCATACCAATCGAGTGTTGAGCAAACCCCCTGATCTTGCTGTTGCTGTGATGGGCCCGAGGATGGGCACGAGGCATCGCCCCTTTAGTACGTTGTGCGAGCGCAAAACTGGCTGTCTCCAGTTCATCCACCTGTTGTTAAGCCAACACCTTGTTCCCTTGCGTCGGGTCCAGGTAACAGTATTGCATCGTGTAGTGTTGGGTCGCCTAGTTGGGCTTCCGGGCGAACCAGGCAAACTTGGTGTGTAGCTTTCTGCAAAACAGCAGCTGCTAGGACGAGGACATGGGTATTCAGTCTATTCAGAGACAACTACGGTTTCAGTATAGGTCCATCTACATGTTTGTTTCATGTGAGCAGAGATGGTGGACTGGTGGTGATTGCCTTGGGGTGGCAGATTGTGAGACAGCTCTGAGCATTTCGCAATGCAGGCCGAGCAGCTTCACTCGCCTGGGGCCTCAGTATGCTTCAATGGAGCCTCAAGGGGCTTTTCTGGAGCTTTACAAGTCTGTCGCCAGCTGAAGTACAACCAAGCATTGTGCCCCAACCTGACCAAGAACCGCAGCCGGAAGCTAGAAACATGCATTCTTGTAAAGCTCTTTTGGGTGTGTCTTCAGGTAGCGAAATTCGCTCTGCAGAGCGAACGCTTGAGCACTTCACGGTCTGGCGTGCAGCGTCGGGAGCACACAGCTTTGAGTCAGAGGCTGCAAGGCCTTTTGCAGATTTGCCAGAGGAATCGCACTTGACTGGCTGCGGACTCTACTCTAGCCCTCATGCAGCCGGATTGAGAAAGAGAGGTAAGAGGTGCAGGGCTGATCATTGATTTTTGACCGACTCGGGCAGCAAAGCATTCCGAAAGCTCAACTTCGGGCCATCGCAGAGGCGGTCATAGATTCAGATTCGCTCCCAACCCCGGCTTATTTTGTAGCCCTACAACGCACTCATGATCACGAGGCCTGAAATAAATGCCAATCTCGCGGCCCTCTCCAACCCGAAGGCTGTCATGGGTGAGTAGCCAGCTCCATCCGTGGAGCGCAGCAGCCTTTCGACTCTTCACATCTGAGCACGGAAGGTTGCAGATTGGATGTCTCAGCAGCAGCGGGAGGAGCTTGCTCTAGCTCCCCCCGAAGGGATCCTGCCGTAGCGAAGCACAGAAGAGCACATCAAGGGTTTCATGACTTATCTCATTCCATGGCAGCAGTGTTCTTTGCGTGCCGCTTGCACTACATGCCTTCGCCACGCTCTCAAGCAACTGCCTTCTCCTTCGAGAATAACTGCAGGAGATCGAAAAGGCCTACGAGTCTTTTTTGGCGAAGTGCTGGCGCTCGGCATTTGGGTAAGCTTTGGATTGGGCCTGTATGATAGGTTGATGTTTAGGGGTAACTTGCATCATGCTTCGGGAAAAACCGGTTGAGGCACACACGTGCCGGCGCTAGCACGGAGCGATATCAGTCCTGCACAATCCTACAAACAAGATCGCGGGCAACTCGACGCTGCAAAGGCCTGCTGGAGCAGGAACATGCTGTAAGATGCCTTCCGGGAACACCTGGGACCTACACAGAGTTCGCACAAACAGACACACACACACACACGCACAGAGAGGGTTGACCTTTCACCCAAGATTAACCCACGACCAGGCACTTGCGACATGCGATCTTTTTCGCATTCGTCCCATATACGTGTGCGCAGAATAAAGCTCATCTGCAGCAAGCATGTGTGCTTGTGTGTATGTGCGTGTGTGTGAACATGTCACTTTGAAGCGCAATTCTAAAGAGCTGCCTGTCACGCTGTCCTGATGGGCCACATGCATGGGTCCGTTCATCATCGACATGATGCCAGAGCTGCAAGCCAAACGCAATGTGAAGCTCAGGTGCAAAGAGCTGGATCTGGGCATCTGCTCCCCGGCCCAAGGCGGTTCCAGGTCGACCCTGCGTGATGTCGCTGTGTACCCAACTGCCCACCGAGTGCCTCACACCGCCAGCTCCTTGCAGCCCGATGTGCTACCAGCGTCGGAGCCGGGAGCTCTGAGCCCACCTGAGGGATACTGTAGCTGATGCAAGTCCATGGCCACCGAATGCAACAGTCAGCATGTCCCTTCTGCAGTGTCAAGCCACTCAATCTATCAAGATCTATCAAGAAGCTTTCCGATTTGCAGTGAGGAAGCTCGACGACCCTCAACTTTTTGTGCTCTGCTCTTCCCTTTTTGTTCGTCATCGGTAAGCCCAGGGAAGCACGGCGGCTGAGCGCGTTGGAGGCCAGCCTTCGGGAAACCTGTCCCGCTGGCGCTTGTGTGTTTGTCAGAGCCAACAAATCCAGGCCATGGGATGTCCATGCATGCAATTTGCGATATGATGCTTTGGTCCCAGAATCCTCCCCACCTGCCCGCTGCGGACGAGAAAATTGAGCGAGCAAACACGACAAGAAGCGAAGTTCGTTCTGACGAGGTGGCTTCGATGGATCAGCGGAGGGTGCGTGCCGTGGGCAAGCTTGTTCATG